GCTGCTGCTGCTGCTGCTACTGCTGCTGCTACTGCTACTGCAATTCTGCTGAAACTACCTCTTGGTGCCAGTCTTTGCTTGCGATTTCCTTTCTTTCTCCTCTTTCGCCGATATATCTCCGCGCCGACTATTCCCTCGCTTTTTTTTTGTCTCCCTCTTCTCCTCTTGTGTATCGCTACTCTCGAAACGCGCCTTCTGTTACTTTTAATTTGAGGGCTCTCCACCAAGCCAACGCAAAATTACGCTGATCAAACTCCACTTCCTGATTGCGTGAGGAATATTAAAAAGAGAGAAAGAAGACTGTATACACTTGTCTAGCGTGAAAAGCGCCTTTGAATTTCGTAACGCCGTACCGTACCATAGTTACACCTCTTGCATGTATGCAATTACATCCGCGTCTACTCTTTAATCATCGCGTGAATTAGCACACGTAAAAAACAGGTTGAATTGCCTCGAGAGGTTTATTCTTATGAGAGCGATCAGTGGTATGTCAATGTGACATGGAGTATATGTATTGTACTATACAAAACAATTTTCTAAAAAGAAAACTTTTTTGTAACGAGTAAAAGGTGTCATTTTGTTATGAAAATCTCGGTAAATGATGCGAAGATTGAGTCACCAGCGGGTGAAATTAAAAGAATGAATGAATGAATGAACGGCTTTTGTATTTAACAATGTGAACTTATTACAAACTGTACTCGAAGACGATCGATGCATCGAGACGCGCAACTCGTGCTGCTTGAGTGGTAATGATACAACTACTGACACGTTAGCATAAGCACAGTTGTGCAGACTCGGGCATTATTTGCACATAGAGCCCTGGGGGTGTCTAACACACGGTCATACGTACTCACATTTGCATTCTACAATAAACGTACTCTACTTTAAAAGTAGAATAAACGGATGTCAGCAAAGGCATGTGATAGAAAATTTAATTAACGCGAATAACTTGAAAAATTGAATGACTGTTCTGATGGATTTTAAAAGCCGTAAACAAATCTGCAATGATCTTTGACATAAGAAGCCACAACAGACAAAGGAAGTTTCGATTGGCTAGTCATTTGCAATGAATGCGTTTGCGCGATGTTTCAACGAGGAACGCGGATGTATAGACGCTCGATGGGGCTTCCGAATTCGATGTCCAGATCTTGTCGAGTAAAAGCTCGCTGGCAAACACCTCGTTACAAATCATTCATTGATATAACGAGGACGTAGAAGCGTAGATGTGGAGGCAGGCAGCGAGCTCAACAATGTATTCAAGAATCGGCTCACCGGAGAGCAATGAAGCGCGCCGATTACTCGGTCGACAAAGTTTTGAGCTTTTGAACAATGAGCACACGCGATACACGACAAAGGCGAGGCGGTACGGGAGAGCAAGAGTTTAAGAGCGGCGGGTCGCAAAAGAGAAGTCGGCAGCCGCAGGCCCAAAAGAAGTCGCTCGCCCTCGCTCCGAGTGCAGCGAAAAAGTGAGTGGAGGAGGAGGATAAGGAGCCGCAGGGTCGTTAGCCCAAGACTTTCAGCGCAGACACTAATTATCGCGTTGCATTGTACGCGACGCTCCCGCTCCTGCGCGCGAGACTTTTTCTTCTTTCGGCCGTTGCTAAGCTGAATAGCTTGGCGCGCCAATGGGGATTCGGTGTTCCTTGCGCCGTTGGCTTCGAGGCTCCGTAGAACGGCACTCGCGCATCGATAGCCACGATTCCACGTGAATCCAGATGATTCCACCTTCGGAGTGGCATTTCAAATACTTTTTGCTCTCGTGGCCTCGTCCAGAACGTTCACGCGCAAGTGGGAGCAAGTACGTACAGTGGGGCACTCTTCGGTGCGTAAACAAGTGCGACTATAATTTAATCTAAATGCAAATCGCGCATCTCCCGAAAGACCGCTCGCACCTGGCTCGAGGCGTGCGAGGAGATCCGACGAATGGAAGTCTCGCAAAGCGAACAATCGCAAAGTGACGAGAGAAAAGAGAGTCCTCTCGAGCAAATAGTCGTGCATCCCGACAGCACGTATCTCGATGACAAACGACTATTTGCGCGTCGACGTCGAGTCTCGCGACGGCTCGATTGCGGTGAAATGCACGCAGGCAGGCAACGTCTGGCGGCGTGTCGCGTCCGCAAAACATCCTTGTAACCAGTTGATCCGTGGGTATTGTCGCGAGGCGCAATTGTTCGCCTCTCGTACCTCGGCCACCTACGTCCGCGAGCGCTTTCCCGGCTAGCCAGCCCGCACCGCGGATCTGATTTCGAGGCTGCGGCGCCTCTGTAATGCCAGCCCGAGGTCCCTGTTTTTTTTGGCCGCGGCTCGCCTATCCTTTTGATGAGCTTACGCCATCCTGCATGCGCGGATTCCTCTCTCTCTCTCTCTCTCTATCTCTCTCGGTTTCCATTCCAATTGTTTGCTAGTTCGTGCTCTGCAAACGTTTTTCCCGACGGTGCGATCTTGCTCGCGAGACTCCGTTGCACGGATGAGATGTCGCGGGCGAAATCCACCTTTCGCATCTGGGCTCGTGCGGGAACAATTAGAGCTCGCCAATGTGAACGGAGAAAGCAGCGGCGTGTTCCGTCGCTTGGCACGTGTCCATCTTCATCGGCAGCCGATATATCAGCGGGGCTCGCGGCCGACTCACGAGCACAGGACGAATAACGTTGGCAGCAAAGCACGCACGCTCGTTAAGAGCGAGAGCGTCGCTATGTGCTGCTTGTCTCTTTTTTGATCGGCGCCAACTGACAGTGCCGAGTCGAGTGGGCCTCTCCTGCAATATCGGCGCGCCTCTCTCTCTCTCTCTCTCTCGGCCGTGAATCAAGCTGACCGAAATAGGCCTGTGCACGTGTCGGTATTCGTAGGTTTTTTTTCGTCTCGCGTGCACGGCATAGGTGTTAACGCGCGCGCTAACAACAATGAGAGAGAGAGAGAGAGAGAGAGAGAGAGAGAACGAGCAACGCAGAGTTTATCGCGCGAATAGCGCCGCTGCACGTTCACGAAATTAATTCCATCGTGTAGCCAGTTTTTTCGAGAATAGAACGTGTTCGAAATGTTTCTCGACTCGCGGCAAAGAAAATAAGTGCTCTTTTTACAAGACAATTTCTCCAGAACGTTATATAGTTGTTTTCCAGTTGCGTGGGTTTGCTCGGTACGTCCGAGCTGACGCTAAAGGGAAGCCTGTCTTTGACGCGAAGTTGGGAAAAAAGAGGCGCAGTTTTCGAAAAGAAAAAATGCCCGTTCTCTCGGCGCACTCGCGCTCGGGGAAGGCAGAAAAAGAAGAGATGGCAAGGCTTCGCAGAGGAAAAAGTAGAGAAGCGTCGAAAAGCGGGGACGCAGATGCGCGACAATGACGAGTTTGTTTCGAGTGCGCGAAAGGCTGGCGCGTTGCGTCAGGACAAGGTACACACGCTCGCGGGTACACAGACGCATACACGGGGAAAAGAAAGGTATAGCGAGCGCGGGCCGAAAGGTGAATTTCGCTTTGGCCCAAAGCAGAGAGCGAGCGAGAGAGACAAGCAAGTGCATCAGCCGTGCACTCGGCGACAAAGACGGACGCGCCGAGGATAATGGGCACCACGCCGCGACAAAAAGCGTAAAGTTAATTAAGGATTTGTTTTACCCTTGGAGCGCGGGCTTTAATCAGCGGAGACTGCGCCGGTCGCCGTGCGCTTCGTTATCTCGTCCCGTCCTCCGCCCGGCGGCTTCATTCGCTCGCGAAAATTCTATCGGAGATCGCGAAACGCTGCCGCCAGCGGGGCTGATTGCGATTTTGTCGATGGCTTTCGACGAGGCTCGCGAGCAGCGATGCCGCGCAAGAACCAACCGCAACAATAAGCGACTGGGGGAAGGCTTCGATGAGCGGCTGTAAATCTGCCGGCGTATATAACCTCGAGAGACTTTGTGCCAAATGGATCCAATTAAATGCCCCGCACTTTTGACTTTCGTCGTAAATCAATCAGCCCGAAGGAGGAATTGGCTCGCGCAGCCGTCTACATTCAAATCGATGGCCACTTGGGACCGCGGCTGGCTTGTTTCGCAGCGCTGCAAATAATTGTTTCGTGCCATTAAACTCGCGCCAGCAGCAGTTTGAACTTTTACCTCGCAAGCTATGCCCAGGCCGAGAAACAAATGGTTCGGTAGAGCAAGTGCGGACTTGTTTATGGAAACTATGAGCGAAAGTCGGCTTGCAAAAGTGCAGGAGAGGCAGGTGAATTCGTAGACCAAGTGTAACGAGTGTGGCAAGAGGGCAGGAGACGAGCAAGAATTACGTAATTCCAACGTCCGGCTGCGCGCATCTCTCCTGTCTTATTCTCGTCGATGAAGTCGTTGGCCGTGCTCCTTCCTCTCCCCGCCCCGCTCTCGTCAAAGGCGGCATTGTGCTCGTCGTCGGCTCGCCAAACACCACCGACCGTTCTCTCCCTCTTGCGATGCACACACACGTCCAGCCAATGCGACGTACTGGCAGTTTCGCGCTGGCGTGCCGTGCGCCTAACCGCTCGCCTAATTGTCTTTTCGCGCTGCTATGCCAATCCTGCGCATCCAAATGGAAAGCTGCGTTCGTTGGCGGCGTTCTTTCTTTGTTCGTTGCCGCCGAGCTTCCGATAAAGGTCGTCGAGATCATTCTCGACCTAAGCATCCGTGCGCAGTCTTTTCAAATTGGGCCGTTCGTTCGGTTTGGCCCCGTCGATTACCTGTACCCCGAAACGCGAAGCTCGCCCAATTTAATTTAATTTAATCATTGAAAATGCATCCCTGCGTGCAGGTTATCGAATAAGGAAAGTCGAACGAGATGCAAGTCGCAGCAATGGATCTTGGAACGGGTATCATTTGGCGAGATACGAGTGGAGATGGTCCTCGGGACTTTTGTTCAGTTAGCGAATAGCATGTAATTGTCGTGAAATAATGAAAGATCGCGGAAAGCAATCTAGGTTACGGGCAATGGTCTACGTAGCTTGAAATCGATTTGACTGGAGCAATAAGGGAGTAATGGAATTTCTCTTTGTCTGTGTGTGCAGGTCGGGCCGTTGATGCCTGATGGCGCGCGCTGGCACTCAGCGCTGGAGGAATCCCGCTCCAGAGTAAGTAGATCAGTTCTCTCATTCAGCCACGAATCATTCTCGCAGCTCCACGCTCGCGTCCCAACAAGACACTTTGCACGCCCTCGCGACGCAATCTATGCAGCGGAAGAAATTTCGCGCGCGCGCGAATACAAAGCAGCCACCACGACGACGAGACGTACGCCACGGCTGAATGTAAATGCGCCGCGCCGAAGAGTGGCAGTAGCGGCGGGAAAACTTTTTCTGCCGCTTGAGCAGTCTGTCGACTTGCGCGCCCAGGCCGATAAGACTTATCGAGGTTCCTTGGCTCACCTTGGCCTCGCTCCCTTTTCTCTGTCCGTTTCCACTCGGCTCGGCTCGGAGAAAGATTCGCGCGACTTTTCAAGAATTTTCGACTACCTAATCTCGATGCTTGCCTTGTATACCAAGTTATACGTAGCTTTCTCGCCGGCGCATTCAACGTTTCAATACCGCCTTGCCATTCTTGTGAATCCGTTCGCGCGATCGCCCGAGCAGGCGTGCAAGTTTCACCCGGCGAGTCGCAGCGCGTAACAGTGACGCGGCGGATGAGCACCGGCGACGCTCTCGTCCGGCAGCGTTAGTCGTTAATGAACAGTCAAGCGCGTTCGGTCCTGCATTCTTATTCCAGGACGAGGCCTCGCTCGCGCACCGGTACGAGTGCTCTCCTCGATCCTTGCCTAAGGGCCAATTTTCGCTGCGCCATTACGCGCAAAACCCGCTCATTTGCATCTGTTTGTTTTATTGAGCGCGCAGCCTTCGACGCACCGCGCGCTCCGAGCGGAAACCAATTTATTTCCTACCAATCGATGATTAAACTCGCTTGGAACCAGTTGAGCACATACTACGTAACGCGTAAACACGGTAACGAACGTGCAAATGCACTGCGTGACTCAAATTCAGCATTCCATTACGCTCATCCGTGTTTTACGTTCCTTCGGCCGCGCAGCCACCTCGCTCGACTGATGACAAGTCGACGAAGCCCAGAGGCTCGACTCGTCGAAGCTCCAAGCCGCGCGGAAGATCAGAGTGCGCATCGTTTTGCACTCGCTAAAAGGGTTGGAAGTCACTGCCGCGGGCGCCTCGCGGCGCGGCCACTTTGTTCGCCTCCCGTACGCGCGCGCACCTGCGTATTTTCCGACGATCTCCCCGTACGCTCGTCAACGTCCCTCGGCAGAATGATGCCTGTGTACCCGTAGCCCGAACGCGCGTCTCGGCTCCGCTAGTCGCCGTCGACCGCTTTAATAAACACTCGGGGCTGCCAAAGCGAACAACTTTTACGACTATCGCGTCTCGCGAGCTCGCGAAACTTTGTCGGGTCGAGTGATCGCGCGGACGTTCAACGATTCCGCTTTGAACGATACGTAAATGTGCCGCTTTTTTAGAAAAGTAATGCCATCGGTAAGACCAAGCCCGCTGTAAAATACACTGAAAGCATCGCAAGCTCCATAAAAGGGAAGAGCGCACGAGAACAAGTTCGTAAACAGAGCGATCAGTGCGAAAGCGACTCGCGCGAAGAGTCGGAGAGCAAGGACTCGGAACGAGCTCGAAGCTGGCGCGAGGAGAAAAGAGAGCCAATCGAGCGTGGCTACGGCGAATCCGAGGGATGTATGCTCCGCAACGTAGAAAGGGAGCGCGTGCCGCGCGCGCACTAAAAGCGTACGCAGCGGCGGCGCGGCGTCGGCGGCGGACTGTAACGTCGGGACGTAAGCCACGGTGCATCGGGCCCGCGCTGCTCCGGGCTGCACGGGGAGCTCGCCAAAATTAAGGACACGCCCAGCTTTCCCATCGAATATCTGAATTCTGGAATCTGGTTCGCGCGCGTCCGCTCGCGTTTCTCTGTTTGCAGATCCGTTCGCTTCCCGTGCCCGAGCGACGTTCCGCGACGTTCCGCGACGTTCCGCGACGTTCCGCGACGTTCCGCGACGTTCCGCGACGGCAGCGGCTTTTTCGAATGCTCCATGTTCTTGCCACCGTCGGTCGCCAAAACGAGCGTCTGTTCCGTTAACCGCCTCGCGACCACCTCCGAATCCACTTCCAGCTGTGGAGTGCTGCCGATTTCTATTCAAGTTCTCGAGGGGGGTAGCGCGAGGGGAACAAAAGGCAAGCCTCGCGAAATAAAAATTGCCTCCTCGCCGAGGCGAGCACGCGAGCGGGGCCGGCAACCTAAGGGGGCGAGAAAAGCGCCAACGGGACGAAGGGGGCTGGTGCAGTGCGAGGCGGTGCTCGTCGTCGTGCTCGTGCGCACGGCACTGATTGCCTCCCTCGGCTAATCAATGCTGCGCGTACACGCACACGCACACCGCACCGCGGATTAATGATCGCTTATTAACCCGGCCGCCAATTACCTACTTGCGTCGCAGGGCGCAAGCTCTCGAGTATTTTCTTTCCAGCCGATTTGCCATCGCTATACGACACACACACACACACATCCTCGAAAAGAGAGAGAGAGTGAGAGAGAGAACCGATTTGTCGGGCAGTATCGATTTTCTCGATGAGCTTCGACGAATAACTTCCGGCGCGACTGCACTCTCGCTGCCTCTCTGGCGCATCGGAAAATCCTTTGGGAATCGCCTCGGGTTTTCTCGCAAACGGATGCTTTCTATGCGCGCTTGTGTGTCGGTTTTATTTCGGCTGCGGGTTAGATTTTTCGAGCAGTGTAACTTTTCGGCACGCCGATCGAATTTGCTATTCGGAAACAGCTTGCTACTGAGATGGATATGTGGACGGATCTGTTTCGTTCGAGTCGTTCGCTCGAGAAAATCGGACTGTTCGTAAAGCATCGCGATCAATTGGCGCTCGCGCTTTTAAGTGGCGTTACGGCTCGCAGGATATACGTCGATCCACAGAATCACGCGCGTACAATAGCGAAGTCGCGGGCGCGTTCACGCGCGCGAAAGCGGACTTAGTCGTGGCGCGCTTTGGCCCTCCGCGCGCGCGCGACGATAAACACGTCGGAACGACGCGCCGCCACGCGAACGTATCGGCGCTTTAGGTCGCGGATTCGTATATCACTTAACGTCCGATCGATTATCGTCAAGCGGAAAATGCAGGCGCGATGATAGACGACGCGCGCACAGTTAGGAGATATCACGCGTAGCCCGCGCGATAAGAGAGCAGCTCGGTTTGCGTCCAGCACGGGCACTCCCACGAGGCAGCGACGACGCTCAACGCGCGCCGTCCTACGCGCTTCTTTAGCCTTGCTTCGGCTAGTCTTTGCGAAAACAATCTAAGCCTGCGACGGAGTGAAGATCATTGTTCGAGTGTAGGGGAAACGTTGAAGAGGGCAAGGCAAAGAGTGCAAAAGCCTGTGTGCTCGAGCCCATCTCTCTCTAACGATTTCACACTCTGAAAGTCACTTGGCTAAGTAATTACCGAGCCTCCTTTCGGTCAAAGCTGCCGGCTGCGCGCTGAAATATGCAGACTGATTTGTGCTTTGTATTTTGCATGCTCATGTCCGCAAAGCAAAAGTCGCAGGTGAATTGCGGCGTAGTACGCGCGCAGATTGGGGAAAAAGCAAGAGTTCCAGCAGATGGATTGTTTTTCGTCTTCTCGAAAACAGTGACGCATTTCGTTCGTCGCGACTGGCGATGCGAATCCCACGTAATTAATGAAACTCAATATGCGCGTGTAGCACATTTCATATCGTCATCGCGCGGACACGCATTACAACGTAAATCACGTTTCAAAATGTAAATATCGAGATAGAGAGAGAGAGAGAGAGGGAGAGAGATAAAATAAAATGTACGCGTCGAAACCGCAGCGGCGCGGCGCGCATTATTTACTCGACAACTAGATCCGCTGCCGCCGTAATAATTCAGCTCGGCGAGACACGTGCTCAGCCCTCACACGCCAGTTCGCAGCTAATAACTCTCGAGTATGATTTAAGCGAGGACATTAATCCCACTCGCCGCGCAGCGCTTTGAATAAAAGAAAAACGGTCGTCGCATCGCCTGTTTGCGCCTTGGCGGCGAAGGTTTCGGAGTCGAAGCGCTAATTGAAAACTAGGGCTAACCTCGCTCTCCTCTCGGCATTGGTCTCGCCGTCGGCTGCGAAAGCACTCTCGCGCTTGCGAGGGATCGCAAACTTGCGCGCGTCGGCAAAGACGATCTATCCATCACGCGCGTCTGCAGGCGGCTTTATGGGAATTGAGCGGTAGCCTACTTCCCGACTGCGCGCTCGCGCCGACGCGAGTCGATTGCCGAGTCGGCTGATTTTGCTTGCGACGAGAGAAGTATTACCGAAAAGTTGGCCCGAGAGCATTGGCGCTCCGCGCGCGCGCGCGCGCGCCTTTGCTTCAGCTCCGAATAATTACGGCAGTTCGACGGCCGATGATAAGCTTGTAAAGAGCGCCACTGCACGTTTGCAACTTGCTATTTGCGCTCCTCTCCTAAGCTTTGTAATTCTATCCTAAAGCAATTACGAGTCGCCGACATCCTGCGTTGTGCTTGATTGATGCTGAAAGAGAGCACTAAATCTTGAATTTTCGTCTATTTTCAAATATTTTTTTATTGCTCCTGGGAGTGTGAAATTTATATTTCAGCAGTAAAAATTTAGCGGTAAATTCAATTTGCGAATACTTAATATAGATGATAATCTGCAAAAATTGAAATATACCGTTAAAAAAACGTTTTAAGATAATAAGAGATTATCTTGTCAAATTACGCTGGAATAATTAGTACGAATCGATAATTGATTAGTATTTGTGAAACGAAAAGTTTCGTTTTCAAATATAATTGGATAAAAGGCAAAGCGAATAAAATAAAATGGGGGGGGGGGGGGGGGAGATTAAATTTTTATTCTTTCACATTGTAAAGTGAGAGGTATGCGGGAAACGGAAACTAATTATGAACTAGAATATTAAATTTGGAGAATGTTCACGAGTGTTTACAACAAGAGAAAAAAGAATATAGGATATTGAAATGTATATCGAAATGTTGTACTGGCACTGGGGCCACAGACAACCACTGTTGTTGAGTAAATTTATTACTATGTGATTCAAA